ATTAGTTCATGAGAATCACTGTGACTACAAAACATTGTTGAAAGGGACACTGTTAACTAGTTCAAGCTCAAAGTTTGACCGCCTTTAAAACTGTTATAGTCTCTAGAACAGAAGGCAGTGCACTGCACTAAGGGTTCAGAGGTCAGGGACTCTAAACTCTATTACAAGTATTTATAAGCATGACAGAAAGATGGCAGGGAATTTTTCACTTGACCAGAGCTCATAACCTTTCCAGCCAATTCAAGTTACACTAACTGATCCTGAAGGGATCCATATCTAGCTTTCCTTAGCCCAAAGTCTGACCCAATATAGGTGTGGGGGAGAAAAGAAAGGTTTAAGAGGGGATTGAGTCATTCTGGTTAACATTTTTTTTTTAAATTCAATACCGCTGAACTTTTGTAATATCTTCCGAGTAGGCTACATTTGAAGATTTTTTTTAAATTTAAGATTGGCACAGTTAAAGGGCAAGGTGCACATTAGACCCCTTTTGTCACTCTCAAGTGCATCCCTCAGAATGATAGGCCTGGCTTCCTCCACCTCTGTCTGGGTGAAACCCTGCAGTTCAACCACTCTTAGACCAGATCTCTAAGCTGCAGTACCCTATTTCTCAACCGTGTTAACCTGATACACCCAGCTTTGGCACCTCTAACCTTTTCCATCGGGAGCTTGTGACAGTGGGTGTTTAAAGTGATTCAAAAACAACTTCTTCTTCTTCTTCAAAAACAAACAAACAAACAAACAAACAAACAAAACATTTGCCAAAAGAAACAAAGCATTTAGGAAAACTGATTAAAACAACTCCTTGCAGAATCCCAGTCCACTGCTCTACCAGCTGTGCCAGACCTATTCAAGAGATGGGAGGGAACTATTGAAGGATGTGTTTATGTGTAGGGGAACATGGAGCACAGGATGGAGGGGGAAACTGAGGTGTATACTATGATTGTTTTGGTGATTCAAAGCAGTTGTAAAACTAGCCTACCAACTAGTATGTTCTGACTGCTTAGTGCTGCTCCAGGGCAGAACAAAGCTACCATATCATACCAGTGAATATGGCCAGGCTACCCACCACCTGACCAGGATGGTGATGGTGACTGTGAAATGCTCTGAGATTAGAGAGGCTAAAAAACACAAACCTCAGTAATAATGGGAGATTTCAACTATCCCCATATTGACTGGGTACTTGTCACCTCAGGACAGGATACAGAGATAAAGTTTCTATACACCCTAAAATTACTGCTTCTTAGAGCAGCCAGTCCTGAAATACACAAGGGGAGAGGCAACTCTTGATTTAGTCCGAAGTGGAGCACAGGATCTGCTCCACGAGGTGAATATATCTGAACCGCTAAGTAATAGCCACAATAATATTATTAAATTTAACATCCTGTGGAGGGGGACACCAAAGAAGCCCACCACAGTAGCATTAAACTCCAAAAAGGGGAACTACACAAAAATGAGGAAGCTAGTTAAACAAAAATTAAAAGATACAGTCACAAAAGTGAAATGCCTGAAAGCAGCCTGGAAGCTCTTTAAAAACACTGTAAGAGAGGCTCAAATTGATTGTACACCCCAAATTAAAAAACACAGTAACAGGACCAAAAGAGTGCCACCACGGCTAAACAATAACATAAAGAGGCGGTTACAGGCAAAAAGACATCCTTTAAAAACTGGAAGTCCTATCCTACTGAGGAATATAGAAAGGAGCATAAACTTTGGCAAGTCAAGTGTAAAAGTATAATTAGGAAGACCAAAAAAGAATTTGAAGAGCAACTAGCAAAAGACTCAAAAACTAACAGCAAAAATAATTTTAAGGACATCAGAAGCAGGAAGCCTGCCACATAATAAGTGGGACAACTGGATAACTGAGGTGCTAAAGGAGCACTCAAGGAAGATAAAGATAAAGATAGAATCTCTATTGAGGAGAAGCAATATGAATTATTTGCATTAGTCTTCACTGCAGCCGATGTGAGGGAGATTCCCACACCTGAGCCATTCTTTTAAGGTCCTTGCAATTATCCCATAAACAAGCATTATAAATTCAGAGTTAAGGTTAAACTTGAAAGAAATGTAAACATGTTAAGGTATAGTTAATAATCATATGATCATTGTAAGGGGTTACTGCAAGGTAGATTTAACATTGTTTATACGCCCTAATAGTACATTTCCTTCATTTATTTTTAGGGGAATAACAATAACAGCCCCCATAATGTACTTCACCCTAAATTACTGATATGTACCCTCAACCTGAACACCAATCTAACCATTTTCTTATCTGGCAATTAGGTAAACAAGCATATACTGTAATCAGTGTATATTTTTTAGAACAATCCCATCTGAGGTTCTTATGATAACAGAGAAAATAAACTCAAGAATGGGCATGTGTCCGCCAGTATATTGCTCAGTTTAAATCCAACACTCTGTTCACTGAATGTGGTATAGTGCTTTTGACAATAGAAACACAATTACCAAAACACCCTTACAAAGATCCAAGCAGCATCTTCCAAAATGTGTAAATAAGAAGTCACTCCCTTCTCAAAACATCTCCTATTTTAATCATCATACTATGATTTTTTTAAAAATGCTGTTGAGACTGCCCATCATTTTCCTCTGCTTACTGGTAGCTACTTTCAGAGTATAGTTAGTAAGTCATTCAGTGAACCACACAGACAGCAAACTCAAAAAAAGAACTGGGAGGGGTGGCAGGGAACAGACACCCAAGAAAGCCACACACTAAAAGGAAGGATGTAGTAAGATCAAGGGATTAACCTTTTTTTTTAAACAGAAAAATTAGTGCAATTCCCTTCTTTAGTTCTTCCAACGTGTCTCATTTTTCCACGCATCATCTAGATTGTAAATTCAGAGGTAGGGTCTTTGAATCTGTGCCCTGAATAGTGATTACATTGTTGACACTTAATTCCAGGAAGATATGATATAGTTCCTCCCCCAACCATGCACTCCAAATATTTCCAAAAGTAGCCTGAACCCATTCCAGAAAGCATTTGAAAGAAAGTAAAACCCTGGATACTTGGTAGGGCGTAAAACTCAAATATATATATTACACACACACACACACACACACAAAGCAGCACACAACTGAATTCCATTATACTGAAAACACTAAAAAGGAGTTTATATAAAAGCCTTCTGTTAAAAATAAATTATATGGACTTTTCAGAACTAGAAAGAGTTTAAAGTAAGAGTTGACCAAAATCAAGAGCGATGCTAAAGAAACCACACTCTCACAATTCAAAAAATTTCTTTATTCCCTATACCATCTTTGTACAACTGTGTTGGTCAGATACAGTCTTATTTTTTAGTGTTGTAATGCAGTCTGAAAACTAGAAAATAAAGTTGTATTGTGTTTACGTCTATCACACGACCTCACACACCCCACCCTATCTACACTCACTCTTTTAAAAAAAATAGAAAGAGCAGAACTGCAATCCCTATATAAGGTGGTATGGATCTAGCTGTCAAAAAGACTGCTTCTCTCTCTGTGCTGCAGTGACATTTAAGGTCAACTGGGGAGCTTTTGTACACAGTCCCTAGATCTGAATGTCTGGGGATGGGAGTCTGCACTTTCTCAGTAGTGTGTCTTTGACTATTGAATTTGCTTTCACAAGTGGTCCACCAAAGACTGAATCTGTAATACTCTGTCTTGTAGGTTAAGACCTCTCTCTCTCTCTTTTTCTTAACAGAAGAACCATGTTACTGTTTTGTGGTGCAGCTAATTTTACTTTATTTTGGGGCTGAAGGGGAAAGGAGAGAGGGTTATTTTTTTTCTGGTTGGCATAGGTCACAAGACATGGATTGTTTTAAAATACTGTGCATGCATTTTGTCTATGTACTTGTGTGCATTTTGTAAACTTAAAATAAGCCCAAAACTTCCTGTAGTATTCAAGTTATTTGAAGACTGCTTCAAAAATAAGATACCAAAATCATCCATAAAACCACAACTTACAACAGCATTCCTACTGTGTTTTGAAACATTATACAGTATATTTTGTTTGTGCAAATATTTCCACGCAGGGTTTTCAAACGGCTATCTAATTATGAGGAGGTTTGAAGACCCAGGCAGAAAAGTCAGAGCATCTAACAGCATACCAAAAAAAGCTGTACTTGCCTCAGCTGAGGACACTTAATGATGCTTTAGAAATAGAAAGCATGGAATTTTGAGTGGGCGGAAGGGGAATTGGTGAATACTATAGTAAGCTGCAGTGTTTTAGACCATTACTTCTTAAAAAGCACCTTTTAAAATACATATAAAGGAACTAGAACTCAAGTCCACACATGGGAAGATATGGTGAATTTATGGTAGGCAATGGGCATTCTCCAGCCATTTATGCCCTTCAAAACCTTCAGACACTACACTATAGGGAAAATTAAAGATCACCAAAACCCAATACTAATATATATACATATGTTTAAAAAGGCCCCTTTTCCTGTTTCACCTCCCCCTGCCACACCGTTTCGCCTTCTCTTTTCCCAGTTCTTTCACAAGCGCCACAGCTCCCTCGAATCTCCCTTCTCTTCCCACCTCACCGTCCATGGTCAGCGCTTCTCTCCAGTCACCGACCCCTCCTCACTCAACATCTTCCGACCCCCTTCTCTCCGGCCTCCCCTTGGAGCCGCCACCCCGCGCTCCCTTTTCCACCTGTCTTCTCAGTGTCTCTGCCCCCCATACTCCCTTCTCCGCTCAGCCTCCGTCTCTCGCCCGATGTCCCCATTTCTCTCCATCGATGGCCCTACCCTACCGCTCCATTTACCCCAGCTCACCCTGTCCCATGCTAACGTCCCCAGCCCTGCTACCCCCCCCCCACGCCACGACCCCCATCCCAACCTCGCGTTGCCCTCGTAACCGTCCCCTGACACCCGTGCCCTCGCCTCACTCCGCTTCCACCGGCCTCATTCACGGCTCACCCCCGTCCACCTCGGCCCTTACAAGGCACCCCCCACCCGACCGTCACCCCCTCTCCGCCCCGGGGTGCTGTGCGGTCACTCACCGTTCTTCAGCTCGTGCTTGACAGTGAGGAGGGGCAGCTCCCCTTCCTCTGCGGAGCCGGAGGGTCCCTCCATTTTCTCACAGGCTCGCCACCCCCCCCCCTGCCTCCCGCCTGGGGTGTGCGTGTGGGGTCACCGTGTCTGGCAGGATTTTATTGTTCAGAGACGTATTTGCGGGTTAAAAGCCATAACATTAAACAAAACAAAAAAAAAGCAACATTAAAATTCCGCCTCCCCAAAATCCAGTCCCGGTAGCTCCCCCCTCGCTACGGCTCCCCTCCCTACCCAACAGCGGTGGGGTGGGGACCCAGCCCCGGCGGCGGGATGGGGGGGCTATACGAGGAAGAGGACTGAGAAGAGGAGACTCTACTCACTGTCCCTCCGCCCCTCATTTCTCCAGACCTCAGAGAGGAACAGGGGAAAGCTGAGAGCTCATTGGCGCGCGCGCCCTCACATCGGGCGACGGTTGGTCAGAAAGCGTTGAACATTCGGTCCCCACCCCCTAGCCGCCGAGTGGCGCGCTGCCCTATTGGTTCACAGGTTGCGCTAATCGCTTGCTCCCCCCCTTCCCTTCTGCCGTTTTCCCCGACTACCCGCCGTTTTATTTGTAAACATTCCCTCCCGCCTCCTGATGTGGGCGGGTGCTAGGTCGCCTGGAGATGAAGGGGCGACGCTGACTGACTCCTTGGGACTGCCAGTCATTCTAGGCTGAGAGAAGGAGGAGTGCCCCCTGCGGCTCGGACCTCACATAATTCTGGGGGAAAGAGGGGCGCGGTAGTGGGGGAAGGGAAGAAGAGGTTACCCCCCCCCAAGTCGTCCCTGACTCGCCTATCCCCGAAAAGCGGAGATGGGTCCTGGGGCCATCGGGTCCGCCAACCCCCTAATGGGGGAGGTAGGAGAAGGAAGGGGCGGGGTCGCCCCACCCCCTGCTGCTGAGGGGAAAGAGAGAGAAGAGGGTTCCAGGCCCTTGGAGGTGGGAATACTAATGAGAGAGACAGAGCGAGAAGGGAGCATTGAAGCGGCTGCCCAGAGCACAGCACCGTGCGCTAGCTACTCATTACCTTACCCCTCAGGGAGTGAGGACCCCTGGAGGTAACTTCTGTGCATCTGCAATTAAACGGTGGGTCCCGTCCCAGCAGGGGGGCCAGTCAGCAAGTGTGAAAAATCGGGACGGGGGTGGGGGGCAATAGGCTTCTATATAAGAAAAAGCCTCAAATATCAGGACTGTCCCTATAAAATCGGGACATCTGGTCACCCTACGTCCCAGAGACCTTAATATCTACATAAACGAGAGCCAAAAGCTGGGTGCAAGGAGGAGGTTGGAGGAGCACCTGGTAACAGTTAAAGGATAACAGTAAGTGTAATAAACAGTGGTCACAGCACACCAGCTGACTAGCCTGTCAAAATCAAGTGTTTTGTGGGCTCTCTGGCAGAGGTGAATTTTAAGGAGACCACTCAGTCCCAGTAGCATGACCTGCAGCAAAGGCAAGTTCCAATATGCAATGTACTATATCAGTCCCAGTGACACATCCTGCAACAACATTAGGTGTTAGCTCCATTCCAGAGATGCAGCAAAACCCAGTGCTCTATCTTGATCCTGATAACACAACCCACAGCAAAGCCAAGTCCCCCAGCATGCAATGCATCCTCTCTCTCACAGCACCACAGCTCATATCTATTTATTTAGGTGCATATACTGTGGCTAAGAGACTTCAAGCTCCCAGTATACAATTTGCCACATCAATATGAGCAGTATGGTGACTGGAGACAACAGATAGTGGCACATATGGGGGGCATGGATCAGCATTCATGTCCGGCTCCCCATCTGTGCCCAGCCCAGGCTGGGGAAGCTAATGATCCAACCATCGTGCCAGCGAATGCACATTGCACATATGCTTAGAAGTGGCACATATTCCACCTCACCTCATTTGGCTTTCCTGAAGAGCACAGAAGCCGGGGGTAAGCCAATCCAAACAGTATATGAATTTAAACTGCTTCTCCCAGATCTTTGGCAGGTCAGCAGAAGCAGATGCCTCTCCTTCCACTGAAAATAGCTGATATGTACATAGGATTGGGGAACGCAGCTTCTAGGATGCAGCTAGAGTAGGCACTGCTGTATGGTACCAGGCTCGGGGACAGAAGAGAAAATCATCTGTCCCAGTCTTATATTGCAAACAGGTTAAGATCCAATTTCAATACAATCAGCCTTTGCACTAAGACAGTGGTTGGCACCTCTTCTGGTTTTACTGAGAGTCTCACACAATGTGGTGCTTTTCTTAAAGATTGTACTATGAGAGTCAAGATGTCAGTTTTAATTTTTTAAAATAGTTTATTGTCCTCATGGTTATGGAGAAAAGCTTGAAAACGTGAAGCATATGTACCTTAAAGTCTTGAAAACTAAAAGGCAAATAAAGAGAATCCAAAAATTATTATTTAAAAAACCCTCAATTTTTAAGCCAGTTATGATACTTTGGGGTCTAACTCATGATTTTTTTTAACACTTGGGCTCAAAACATGAGGCATTTCTGCTGAATCAGGCATTCTCGTTGCCTGTGGTGTTAGGCTCTTAGTATCAGTGAGATGCACCTAATATTAAATACAATGGTATCTTCAGTCTGTTTAGTTGCATACAGATTAGGTGCAGCACTCAGTCTCCTGGCAAATTGTCAGTGCAGGCCTTAATTGGACAGGCTGTTAGAATATCCCCATTTAAAGGGGACGGGGAGGTAAGGGAAGAATGATGGATATAGTTTTGGAAAGAGTGTGTATATGTCTTTAAATACATGTGTGGCTTAGTGTTTCCTGTTTGCCTGTAACCTTAATGTAGAAGGAGGAAGCAGGAAGAGAGTCGGCTAGGAAGAGACTCAGGCTGCATGGTGTCAGAGCAAAGTTGTCTTTCCTTAGAATTGTAGCAAATGCAAAAGAGCATTAGTTTTTTTTCTGGGGAGCAATAAGAGACAGGGTAAAATGGAAGACCAAGATTGTGTTTACTTGAAGATAAAACAGCCTTTGCAATAGGTGAAAGGCCAAACTAACAGTAAGATTGCTTATTTACACTATGTTAGACTGTTACCAGATAATTGTTAAATGTGATGGAGAGTGTTATGTGCTGTTATACACACTGAATATTTTGTGGTGTGAGGAAAGGAGAACCTATTACAGAAATACATCAATTCATGAATAGATATTTGAGTTATGTAATTTGGTTTATTTTCATATTAAGTGGGCTGGGAGATATATTAATAGAAAACTGATTTTTGGTTACTTTTTAAGAAAAGAACTATGTGTTTAGAATCATATTAGGCCTTCACCCTCACTTAGGTCTGCACAGCTTTTACATTGTGGAAACAATATGCCACCTGTTAGGCAGATTCCTATGTTTCCCTCTGACCCAGAGATAATTCTGTTAGTGATAAGTAAGGCTACGTTTTAGTCAGTTAGATTTACAGTTATGTATTGCAACATTTGTTTACAGTCACGCTGTTTGTTGTCCTTTGTTTATGTCCTTGCTGTATCATTTGAAAGATTTGCTGTTGTGTATGAGTATTACTATGCCATCTACTGGTTAGAGTAACAGGTCTGCTCATTTTTTACTTCATTTCCCTAATCAGAGTTTGACAAGATGGTGGAGCTAACTATAATAATAATTTATTGAGTACTGATTGTGCAGCTGGAGCACTGTTTGGGCAAAACTGAGCTTGACTTTTGGTAATTCTCACTTTATGTCTATACTTTTTGACTTCCAAGTAGTAGCTTTCTTTGCTGATGTATCCCTTTTTCTGTTCCTTGTATACTCTCTTTTTACTCCTAATGTCCTTTTTGAGGTGGTTATTCAGCAAGTTAGAGCTGGAGCCTTTCCCTGTAAGTTTTTCCACCTTATTTGGGATGCAGCTTCCAGATAAACTTTTGCTCCTCTGACTTAAAGAAATTCCAAACCTCCTATAAATTTAAGTCCCTGAGCTCTTCCATCTGTTTGACTTCACTAACTAGTTTCCCAAAGTCTGCCATTTTGAAATTGAATACCTGTTTCTAACCTGTTTTTGAGTCTCTTTCCTTTTAACTTTAACTGGATTAACTCATGATCACTCAATCCAAGGCTTTCTTCTATAATCTCATCACTGTTTACTCAAACCAAGTCTACTGTAGCATCATCTCTCGTCGTTCAGTGATTATTTGGTGAAGAAACCTGTCGTCTAGTGCCTCACTGGGTCCTATCATTATTAGTAGAGATTAACTTCCAAGCTATAGATTGGAGAAGAAAGTCTCCCATAATGACAATTTGCAGTAGTTCTCTCTCTAATAATATTAAGATACTTCTATCCATGTCCAAAGCCGACCCTGGAGGTCTATATCAAATCCCTAACACTAGCATAATTGGAGGGGAAGGATAGCTCAGTGGTTTGCGCATTGGCCTATTAAACCTAGGGTTGTGAGCTCAATCCTTAAGAGGGCCACTTAGAGATCTGAGGCAAAATCAGTACTTGGTCCTGCTAGTGAAGGCAGGGAGCTGGACTTGATGACCTTTCAAGGTCCCTTCCAGTTTTAATTTATTTATATTTTATTTATAACCTCTTTTACAATCCTTCCCCAAAGTGATTTTGGCCCAAATGGATTCTGTTTTATTTGTTATCTCTTCTCGTTTCTTTACAATGCTATCCCAGTATCTTTACTTCTTTCTCTCCTGAACAGTATGTACCCATTAGTACCTGTATTCCAGTCATGACTGCTATTCTGCCATATTTCTGTTATCCCTCTAATATTGGGTTTCACAACCTGCATTTGTGGTTCTAGTTCCTCCATTTTGGTGCCAAGGCCCCTCATGTTAGTTTACAAACATCTGAGTATTTTCTTGACTTCATCCAATTTCCTTGCTGGATTGGGCATAGTCCTTTTGCTGTCCCTACTCCTATCTTCTGGTTTCCCTTATCCATTATTATATCCCTTGCTTACCTGCTTTTCCTTTCCTGTCTGTTAAAACCAGATATAAGTAAGTTACTTCTTTCCTTCTTCTGAATCTTACGTATAGTCTCTCTTGGTTTCTTCCTGCAGACTGCTGCTGGCTCATGTTCACGCTTTCTCTGCTAGAGATTGAATGTATAATACAATGCTAATTTGCATTGTTACTTTCAATGGCACTAATCACATTTGACAGTTCTGTTCAATTTAGGCAGAGAGCCCAGTTCTGATAGACCCCAATGAAATAAACTTGCTTCTGGTAGTCCATCTCTTATTCTACATTTTGCTGCTTTACAGTTTATATGAATACACACAGGCAGCCACTTATGTCATTTTTAAAGGCACAATGTCAATTTCAAAGAAGTTGGAGTTAAATCTGTTTTCTAATAGAGTGCTATTTAAATAGCATGCGCTCATTTGTTGGATTTTTTTTAATTTCTGAAAAATATTCATAAGGGTTTCTCTGCTCCTCTGGGGATATGTATAAGGGTTTTTTTCAGCAAAGGAGAGAGAGCAACTCAGGCCTCCAATCCTGAAAGTTATTCTGCTTGGATGCATCCCAGCACACCAACATGGAGCCCCAGTAACGTCAGTGGGGTTCCATGTGGATGCAAGAGTCTGTCCACACAGAACAACCTAATGGATGAGTGCCTTATTGGCTATACACTGGAAAGAGTGAAACAGTATACAAAGTCCTGTGAAATACACAGTTTATAAACAGAAAAACAAGACTGTCTTTCACTAAATCTTAAAGTACATAATTTTCTGACAAAGATGACATTTTCAAGTTGGTGTGCCTTAATATTAGAGGGCTTTGCATGAACAGCTTGGAAAATACCAAGGAAGTTTCTGATGCAGAGACAGTGAGTTTTGTATCAGCAAATCTGTTATATACGTACATTCAGTATAGAGAGCTATATTTTTTAATCTGCTTAGAAAATATTTTACATTAAAAGTGAAGCCATCTGTAATTCTGAGTCTGTAACTTTAGTGGGACCCTTTTCACTACTAGTGAATACTGCTTGCTCTGTAGTGCTGCTGCAGCAGTCCCAGCTGCAGGAGGCATTGTGGTGGCATAACTGCAACCAGGTTCTATTTTGCCCTGCAATGACCTATTTGGCCCTTGTAAAAGGAGCACAAGAAAGGCAATGTGATGGCTGGTCTAGCCTGCACGTGGGCTAAACTGGTCCCTGGCAGCCCCAAAGGAAAAAGGTGTAAGCCACCTCCCCTCTGTCCTTACACTGGCAAAATTATAGGCAGAACTAGTAGCACCCCTTACAGTGACGGGTGCAAAATACTTTCAATTACAAGATCTTGTTTTCAGATGTTTATAGCTTTCAAAAAATTTCAGTCTGAACAGTTAAAGTTTGCAAAGTGGTTCAGCCATTTCAGAGAATGAGGCAAGAGTCCTGTAGAAAAATAAAGTTATTTGATTGTATAATTAAAGACCATATCATAATTAAGGCTAAGTTTTAGACATGGGTATTTTTAGTAAAAGTCATGGACAGGTCACAGGCAGTAAACAAAAATTCACGGCCCAGGACCTGTCCATGACTTTTACTATATACCCCTAACTGAAACTTGGGCCTGGGGTGATCTAGGGGGATAGTCCCAGCCGCCGGGGGTGCTAGGAATGGTGACCTGGGACCCCTGCTGGTGCTGGGGGGGGGGGGGGGGGGGGGGGGGGGGCCCCGCCCGGGGCCCCGGGGGGGTGGGGGGGGGGGGGGAGCGGTCTGGGACCCCTGCCAATGGGAGCTGTGGGGCGGCGCTTGCGGTCACAGGCAGCGCACGGAGCCCTCTGTCCCTGCAGCTTTTAGGCGGAAGGGCCATGCTGGTGCGAGCCGGGGACACCCCCAGGTAAGCACCACCCCGCACCCCTACGCTGTGCCCTAGCCCTGAACCCCCCCCCACCCACACACACACACACACAGACTGCCGCTGGCCCAGGGGCTGCCCGGCTCAGACAGCACCTGAGCCAGACGCACCGGCCACTGCAGAAGTCACGGAAAGTCACAGAATCCATGACTCCTGTGACTTCCATGGTAGATGCAACCTTAATCATAATACATATGCATAAGGGGACTGGATTAAGGCTATTTAGGCAACCTTATTTCTGACATTTCCTAATTTTTGAATGCTTGACTTTGCAACCTTAATATTCCTCTATAGGATGGGGGGTTATTTTTTTGTTTTGTATATAGTTACGTATTTGTATTGCAGTAACTGTAGAGGCCCCAACTAAGGTCAGCACCCTATTGTGATTGATGCTGTACATGCATATAGCAAGAGACAGTCCCTGCCCCAGAGAGTTGAGATTAAAAAGTAACAGATTCAGGGGTAGTCTATAACAGTTCTCACAGAAACATTTTTATATAAGGTGAGTATTCAGTGTGATCAATTAGTGGAAGCAGTGATCACACCCTGGAAAAAGTGGCCTAACAGCTCAGTTATTTTAGAAATAAAGACTTCTCTACACTAACAAAGCAGGAGGTTTAGGACTAGAACAGGGGTCTCAAAGTCCCGGCCCGCGGGCCATCTGCGGCCCAAAACCTCCCCACTGCGGCTCATGGAGGAGAGACGCATGCAGCCTGCAGCAGACATTGCTGGCAGCGTGGTGCCGCCCCCCGCAGCTCCCGTTGGTTGGGGGAGAGGGACAGAGATACCATCACTAGTCGCCGGGCAGGGTCAGCCATGAAGGCAGCATCATTAGTTGCTGGGCAGAGTCAGCCATGGAGGCAGCGTTACTTTTTTCCACAATGAATATAAACAAGTCAAAATACCAAACACATCTATCTGATGCACACCTTGCTGCAATCCTGAAGGTTTCAACTGCTCAGTCACTGAGGCCAAACATCAACAAACTGACAGAACTGAAGCATTGCCAGGTATCTGGCAAAAACTAAAAACTCTCTGGCAGGCGAAGAATTGTATAAAGTTGTATGACAGTTTTATTATTTCTAAGAAATTCGAAATAAAAAATACAATATAAACGTTTTCTTTTCTGAACACCATCTTCAGTAACATTATTGGCCTGCTGGGAGGATTTGAGGACTGGCACTGGCCCTAAGATAAATTGAGTTT